ACTTTAGCAGAATAGCAAAAATAGCAAAATATCAATTGTGCACTCATAACCATGTATAAACAATTATAATGAATTAAGTCCAGAATGTTTTCGTGTGACTATCATCAGTGGAACATCGTCACATAGTAAGAATCACTAAAACAACCAGTTATATAGCTAGAGTAATATGAAAAGAAGCGTGAGAATGCAGCACAGCTTGCGGTTATGCATAACGCGTGTAGTGTGAACCTTTGCAGTGTATCTGAGAATGGTAGCAGTAGATGAATGTGGCAGCTGTGAGTGCGTGTGGACAAACCTGGTTAGTGCGTATTATTTGAAAAGTGTGAGTGCTACAACATTTTCATTTTGCTTGCATAAAACAGGGTCACATAATACGCACTCACCAGTAATGAAATAAACTATGTGAGCACTCATATCACAAGTATAGCAACAATTGAAAGTTTTCTAAACGATATCTTGCCACAATTATCAATGTAATTCGTGACTGATGGAAATGATGAAAGTACAACTTGCATGACAGCGGGAAGAGGAGTATAGAAGCGGAGTGTACAGCAACGATGAAAACCCAGGTGATCTGTTACATGTACTAGGAGAGTTGAGCTTGACAGGTGAAGGTGGTAATGATGATGAGGAGGAGGATGATGATGATGATGATGATGATGATGATGATGATTTACTTCCTTGACTGCTTTTGTGTTTCATCATTTTCCGGTTGGTTTTATGTTGATTTCCCATGTTCACTTTACATATTGTAATGATATACATTTGCTTTGCCCGTAAAAGAGGCTTTTCTCATGATGATGATGATGATGATGATGATGATGATGATGATGATCAAGTGAGTCCTCGAGTAGCGTGATGGGCATGACAGACGTGGTGGATGAGGAGACTGGAGCCACAGTGCAGGAGACTCTGCTGCAAAAACATCCGCCTGCTGCTGAGCCGCCTGCTTCGGTTCTCCTTGACAACAATATTGACCAGATTAACAACATCGTATTCCAGAAGATCACACCAGAGCTCATCCGACGGCTTGCTCGACAGATGCAGGGCTCTTCGGGACCGTCGGGACTGGACTCTGAGGCATGGTGTAGAATGCTCACTTGTTACCGAAAGTCCTCAGACAGCCTCTGCACGGCCCTCGCTAAGTTTGCTCATTGTTTATGCTCAGAGACCCTCGACTCGGAGCATCTCGTGGCGTTTACAGCTGCTCGTCTGATCCCATTGGACAAGCGCCCTGGTGTACGCCCAATTGCCGTAGGGGAGGCATTTCGACGGATTGTGTGCCGTGCCGTCATGCGAGTGCTTGAGGTGGATGTACGCCAGGCTACGGCTCCTTTCCAGCTGTGCATCGGCATTCCATTCGCATGCGAGGCTGGTGTGCACGCGGCTCAAGAGCTGTTCCAACAGGATGACGTTGAGGGCGTCCTGTTTGTGGATGCTAGCAATGCGTTTAATTCACTCAACAGGAAGGCGGCTCTGCATAATGTACCGCGCGTGTGCCCTGCTATGTCCAAGATCTTCAGCAACACCTATGGCAGCCCGATCCGCCTCTTTGTCTCGGGAGGTGGTGAGATTCTGTCCCGCGAAGGGACCTGCCAGGGGGATCCGTTGGCCATGGCTATTTACGCTCTTGCGACAGTCCCGTTGATCAGGCGACTTCGGGATACCAACGTATCAGTAAAGCAGGGATGGTATGCAGATGACGATTCAGCCGGAGGTAGGATACCATCACTATGGTCATATTGGAATGATATCAGTCAGATTGGTCCAGGCTATGGGTATTTCCCGAATCCCAAGAAAACCGTTCTCCTTGTAAAGCCTCAGTATGAACAGGATGCTCGGCTACAGTTCCAGGGCTCTGGCGTCGTCATCACAACTGATGGTAACCGATATCTTGGAGGCGTGATTGGCAGCGAGGATTTTTGTTCTTCCTTTATGGAGCGGCGTGTCCAGAAGTGGGGACGGGTATTGGATACATTGTCTTCAATGGCAACCACACAGCCACAGGCAGCCTATAGCGTATTAACTAAAGGTTTGTCGAGCTCCTGGACCTATCACATTCGTTGTTCGCCATGTTCTCCAGAGCTCCTGACGGCTGCTTCCGGCCCTACTTGGCGATGGTGTCCGTCCTGATAGTCCTGAGAGAGAGCTGTTGACATTCCCCGTCCGGTATGGTGGCCTTGCCATTCCCGTTCTGGCGGCTAGTGCACCTGCTGAATTTATTGCGTCAAGGGCAGTGACCAAGCCTCTGGTACAGCTGCTGCTGACCGGCAATTACACAAGCCCTCCTGACGTTTCCTGTGTGCCACAGATGGAAGCCCAGGAGAAAATCGCACAGCCCGATGGAAATATTGGTGTGCTGGCGAATCCGGATCAATTAATCTTGACACATGATCCGGTTCGTGATGCAGTGGGCGATGCACGGCACATTGCAAGAACAACGCGTGCGGCCAGGATCGGGGATGTGTGTCGTCGCCAAGCCGATATCAAGCCATGCTTGACTGCCGAGCAGCAGTTTTTGATAGAAGTCGCAAATGAGAAGGGTCTATCATCGTGGCTGACGGTGGCTCCCCGCTGGCAGCATGGAACAATTTTAAAGAAATCAGATTTCCGGGACGCTCTATGCATCCGGTATGGTCACAGATTGAGTGGACTGCCGGAGAAATGCGTGTGTGGAGTGGATCTCAGTCCCGCACACGCCCTCACTTGCGGTACTGGTGGGTACACAATCGCCAGGCACAACGAGGTGAGAGACCTTGTCGCCGGTCTCCTGAGAGAGGCAGGTGTAGTTGACGTCGAGACCGAGCCTAGATTATTGCCGTGCGGTGGTGAGGATCTACCAGGAGGGCGTTCGCTCAACAGAAGTACTGAGGCTCGTCTTGACGTGCGGGCTCGGGGCTTTTGGTCGTGGCAACAAGACGCTTTTTTTGATGTGCGGATTACCCATCCCGCAGCGTCTGTGTTGTCTCGATCAAAAGCCTTGAGTCAGCTGAAGTCCCATGAACGGGCAAAAAAGAATCAATATGCCAGCTGCGTTGTGAATGTCGAGCGAGGATCGTTCACCCCACTGGTGTTCTCGACTTATGGTTTCAGCGGGCCTGAGACAACTCAATTCCTAAAGTCTCTTGCCTCTCTCTTTGTAGAGAGAAGCCAGGATCTCAAATATCCTGTTGTCATGGGTATGTTGCGTACCCGCCTGTCGTTTTGCCTCTTGAGGTGGGCCATTACGTGCTTTCGTGGTTGCCGAGGGTCTTATAACAGACGGCGGGTGGATTCCTTTGTGGCCCAGTGTCGTTTGGCCGCATAGTGAATTTTTATGCTATGCCTCTCAACAATATCACTATGGATAACATCACATTTTTTAAAATAACTATTTGGTAAAGTAACATCATCTGTCATTCAATATCTATCTGGTAAAATAATCAGCATTTGAATATCTATTTGGTACTAATCATTCAACTGTTAAATGTCATATTTTACCTGAATATCTATCACGATTTTTGCACATAATCTCGGTTATCACCGTTTCAAGCCCGTACAAGAGGCCGTTTCCAATGATGATGATGATGATGATGATGATGATGATGATGATGATGATGATGATTTGTTTTTTATATTTGTAGTTCGATTGTTGAAATCTCTTGTCTTTTCTTTGGGTTAAAAGGTTAACTTCATCCTCGTTTTCTTATTGCCTTGTATTGGAATTTGCCCATAAAAGTGGCTACGGTGTGATAATGCATTTTTATATTTCGTGTTTTAACATTATTTTCAGAAAATTGCTCTTACAATACCTTGCGTTTTATATTCATAATATTGTTGCCCGTAAAAGCGGCTTGGTCACATGATGATGATGATGATGATGATGATGATGATGATGATGGCGAGCAGGACGGTTGTGCTTTGGGGCCCGGCGGAGGCAGAGGCAATGAGAAGAAGTGATTGTACAAGTATATCAACAACATTATACGTAATGAATGGCCAGATTCTACAAAACGTTTCTTCAGAATTCCCAAACTCCATTGCAGCGCATTTCTTGCACTTGAAAACACCGCTAATTCGGCAACAGGCTCTCAGCTGCACCAAATAAATAACTTTGCCAATATTTCGCGCTGAAAAGTTATTTATTTGGTACAGCTGAGAGCCTGTTGCCGGAATGGCGGTGTTTTCAAGTGCAAGATTCTACAAAATCTTCTTTTTTACTGTACTGTGTCAGCGAAGGATGTACCCAACACCGCTGAGGCAGAGCGAAATAGAGAACAACAAGGACAATCAAGGCTTGTTTGGTGCTACTTCAAGTGTCATGCTCTCACAATCATCAGCCCTCCCCCCCCCCCCCCCTCTGTTACCTGATGATTGCGAGAGTGTGAAACTTGAAGTAGCAGCAAACAAGCCTTGACTATCCTTGTTGTTCTGTACTCTACTGTATGTATGATTTTCAGGACGGTGAGGAAGACAGCCACCATGAGGCTGTGCATGTTGCTGATGGTCGTTGACATCATGCGCACCTTCTTGTAATTTTTTCGTTTTTCAAAGAGTATGTTAGGCAAGCTCTCGTTATTCCTGCACTACTTAACTTATGACCCATACGACAAGTTAGCTGAAAATTGGTATGCTAATTGCAAGAGTACATACTCCCACTCCTGCCATTGATGTCAATCTGTTGCAGTTTTGGAAATGACCATGTGCAGAAGGGTTTGCGTAATTTGTATTCACCCAGGCATGTTGATTTGTTGCCATGCATACGTGTGTGTGTGTGTGTGTGTGTGTGTGTTTGTGTGTGTGTGTGTGTGTGTGTGTGTGTGTGTGTGTGTGTGTGTGCGTGTGTGTGTGTGCGTTTGTGTGTGCATGTGTGTGTTTGCATGTGTGTATGCGCGCTGGTATGTTATTGTGTGTGTGTGTGTGTGTGTGTTTGCATGTGTGTATGCGTGCTGGTATGTTATTGTGTGTGTGTGTGTGTGTGTGTGTGTGTGTGTGTGTGTGTGTGTGTGTGTGTGTGTGTGTTCTGGTCTGGTGTCCTTCATTTGACTTTGTTTGACTGGAGAAGTGGATATTCCTAATGGAAAGTCAAGCTTAACCGGTGGTCAAGTGGCAGGCCTAGTCATAGGCACCTTGCTGCTGGTCGCATTGATTGGAGGCATTGTGTTCACTCTGGTAAAGAAACAGTCTCCTGGATCTGGGTAAGTTCAAGTTGCATTACTTCACTATGTCTCTATAGCATGGGAACGTTGGGAGGATAAAGGTTAACCCTTGCAGCATTAAATGTCAATTATCAGATTTGGGCAGGGTCGGTGGTCTTTTGTGCAGGCGGCACTTCTGAATCTGCGATGGTGGGGACATATCTGCACGCATCACTCACCTTCTTAGCCGAATTTTGTTTAGAGCCCTCTCTCGAAGAGTGACCTCTCTGAAATCGTGCTCCTGTCTCGAATTGTTCCCCTGTCTCGAATAGTGCCTCTGTCTCGAATTGTGCCCCAGTCTCGAATAGTGCCCCTGTCTCGAATAGTGCCCCTGTCTCGAAAAGTGCCCCTGTCTCGAATAGTGCCCCTGTCTCGAATAGTGCCCCTGCCTCTGAGAGTCAATGATAAAGAATTAAGAAACGAGAGAGCTTGGAAGCTCAGGGTCCTACGCTATGCTTTTTTGCCTTGATGACCTAGACAAAAAAAGCATACGGATGTTATAAATTCATATAAATGTTTCCTTCTTTTAAGACATAACCTGGGATTCGAACCCGCACTATCGCCCTGCACGCATCCCCCGATACATTTCGCATGCATACTAATTCTTCCAAGTTGGTTCACGTTATGATCTTGAATTTGAAAGCCCTATTTGAATATGCATTGTGGCCAGCCGTCTTTGATGGCACGGTACGGGACAGGTACAGTCGAGGGTAATAAGACACCGTCTACCGCCTTGATGACCTAGGCAAAAAAAGCATAGGGATGTTATAAAATTTTCAATTCTCCTATTTTTTAAGCATAACCTGGGATTCGAACCCGCACTATCGCCCTACATGCATTCCCTCATACACTTCGCATCCATACTCATTCTTCCAAGTTGCTTCAGGTTATGATCTTGCGTTTGAAAGCCCTATTTGAATATTGCGGCCAGCTGTATGTGGCCAGCTGTGTTTGATGGTACGGTACGGTATGGGACAGATACGGGATAGCGCCAGGCGTGACACAAACACACAAACACCAAATTAAAGCTGTGTGGACCTTGGCTAGCGCCAGCCGTTACTGGAGTAACGTCTTCTGCATAGCTACGGGAATTAAAGCTGTGTGGACCCTGGCTAGCGCCAGCCGTTACTGGAGTAACGTCTTCTGCATAGCTACGGGAATTAAAGCTGTGTGGACCCTGGCTAGCGCCAGACGTTACTGAAGTAACGTCTTCTGCATAGCTACGGGAATTAAAGCCTCTGTCGTGCCTGCAGGTACACATCTATATCGCCATACTCTCATACCTTTTTAAAAGTTTTCAGCTTAGAGAGCGTTGTGTAGGCTTGAATATGTTAACCGCCAGGTATGCTTTAACCACCATCTCGCTCTGTGTCATTATTATTGTGCTATACATGTATTGTAGTTTTCAGATAATTGTGTTACTCGCATGCCATTACTCTGCTGCTATAGTTGAGTATGTCTCTTCCAGTTTTATTCAGTTCCAGTTATGTCATTTTCTTTGTACTTGATCAATATGTTCTGTAGGAAACATATTTCTATGACAGAGATGAATGCTTAATGACTCCAACTGGAGGTAAGAAAACCCATGAGTTTATGACAGAGTACATGTGATCAGTTCATGCAGCATTTGTTTTCCATGTATACTGTAATAAAGTTGCAGACTGCTTCGTCAGAAGTAGTCGGGGCAGGGAATAATGCACCCCATTTGCCACTCTACGTCGGTTATTTGTAATTGTATTTATCTAGAGATAGTCGGCATGCTCATATATACCGGCAGACAAAGGAGAAAGAGACAGAGAGAGACAGACATACAGACAGAAATACAGATGAACAGATGGACGGACAGAGAGCGAGAAAGAGAAAAAGAAAAAGAAAGTGAGCGATAAAGAAAATGAAGCCAGAATTTACACTTGGGGTGCAGAATCAGCAAGGACATTCTTACCCAGCTCAAGTTCACACTACCACAAGAACGTATGGAGCGGTGGAGAATTGTGGCAAACCACACATGAAGGGATTGCAGTACCAGAATGAACACGGGATGAAGTTATCAGTCCTCTTGCGACTTGAACAGACACAGCACTTTGATATGCTTCTTTTGTCGACTTAGCTCTTGCTTCAAACTGCGTATGTACAGCGCTTCCAGAGAGGGCACGCACACGCGCGTGCGCACACACACACACGCACACACTACTACTACTACTATTGACAGCTGCCAGAAATGGCCACGCCGCTCCCCAAAGGGAGGTACTGTCAGAGAGGTTAGGGGAGAGGTAGGCAGTGCTTCAAATGGCGCTCCAGGTCCTGTCGCCTCCGAAACTGGCGACGCACACACACACACACACACACACACACACACACACACACACACACACACACACACACACACACAAGAGTATGTACAGCGCTTCCAGAGGGGCACGCACACACACACATACACACACACACACACACACACACGAGCGTGCCCACGCGAGCCAGGGTGCGCATGCACATACACACACATGCACACACACACACACACGCACACACACACACACACACACACACACACATATATGAGCCAGCGCACACGCACACATACACACACACACACACACACACACACACATATGAGCCAGTGCACACGCACGCACACAGAACCTTCCAAAGTGTCCCCTCTAAGAGGTGCGAGCAAAGTCCCATTTAGAAGAACTTTTTTGAACTTTGCTCCCGGACTATGTTGATGATGAGGCCATTACAAAAGTTTTCTGAACTGATAAGGGAACTGTGTACCTTTATCATTTCAGATAACTTTTGTAATAATCTGCTTTGCAGAATGATCCGAAAACTCCTATGCGCCGTCATGCTGTTAGTATGCACTAGTATAGATTTGACAAGCCAACAGGCAACAGCAAGAGTGCATAAACCAGAGTGTGTGTGTGTGCATCCATATTGCATAAAACTAAGAGTACATTACTCCCAGAGTGTGCAACGCCTGGTCCAGCTCTGCATAGGGTCTTGGTCGAGCGGAATCGGATCTTGGGGTCATAATACCGTACACTAGGCATCTGAGCGGAACCCGGGGAGTCACGGGTACTCTTGGATTAAAAACAATGGTGCCTTGCCTCGAGACCGGCCTTGCGCTGGTATGGAGTGCACGCATGACATCAGAAGATCCAATTACGATCGACCAAGACCCAATGCAGAGCTGGATCAGGCGTTGCACACTCTGGGGGGTTATGTACTCTTGATAAAACCAATGACGCGGTGATGTTTTTTAGTCTACGTCATCTGAATCATGAATCATAGAATGTGGTCTTTGGGTCGTTCATAAATGACGGATTTTTCATTGAATAGGGAACAGAAAGATGACGAACAACGGAGGAACTGAAAAAGAAAATGTACGAAAATGGGAAGGAAATAGTAAAAAAAGTGAAATAATTAGATAATAAGGTGCATCTAGCTAATAGATTTGAACTCGGATGTTGAGTTAAAGTAATCATGGATAAAAACAAAGGAGAAAATGTTACGAGTTATGATTAAAATAAATTAAATCAAATATAGTCATCGAGTGCTACAAAATCGCACAAAACTGACAAGGAAATTTTGCCTCATTCCGTGCTGCGGCCCACAGTTAATTGGGAACTCGTGGCCTGGCACGAGGGAAACATGGATGCAGTGAATGGAATTTTTGTCTTTGACCACATTGTGGGTCGCTCTGATCTACTTACCTCCTATCGCTTTATGAGCTGCATCTGTGCCTTGATCCTAGAGGGTGGTGGTGTTCCTGCCTTGATCCTTGAGGGTGGTGGTGTTCCTGCTTTGATCCTTGAGGGTGGTGGTGTTCCTGCTTTGATCCTTGAGGGTGGTGGCATTCCTGCGGATGCGAACAACTAGGCGTCCAGCCAAGCCTCAAGTGAACCGTGAATTTTTTTACCGTATGCCGCTATAAAAAATATCAGATTATGAGATTTTAAGGACATGTTGTGTGATTTTGTCCATAGGGCCTACTTTGTACAACAAATATCAGAACTATCACCTGCTGCAATCTTCCATAGCTTCCCCAATTTGTGTTCGCATAAAAGTCATTGTGAGCATGGTGAAATAACAATAATGTCGCTGTTTTGCAGCTTATTGCGTGTCAAGTCACACCCTTACTCAGGAGGAAAGAGAAAAGGCTATAGGGGGTATTTGGGCAAATTCCTGCTGTAGAACCTCCTTTCAATTCGGAAATGTGGTATGTCATTCCAAAAAACATGGAAAAAGAAGAAGAAAAAGTCGCTCATGACGGGCTCGAACCCATGAGCCGCAGAAAGTAATAATGTCTCCACTCATGATCTGCACAGAAGGATGCAGAGAAGACCAGTTTGTGACACCCAATTGAGCTACCTTAAAAATCCGTCCTTATGCAAAGTTGTGTATGACCCACTGCCCCCCCTCCTCTCTTTCCCATTACTTGTTTCTATTTCCCCCGTTCTTGTACCAATTAGAAAATTTTAAACAAACTGCGTCCATTTAAGTACCTTATTTTTACGGGTTGTAAGTCGACCCCGGTTATAGGTGGACCCCCGTATCCGGAGGTCTCAATTCTGCGTTTTAAAGTGTTCACCCAAAGAAGCACTACAAACCACCTCCTGCTACTAACACATCAAAAAATCATGTCAACATGTCAACATTACTTAATTATAAGTTTCCGTGCATGGCACGGTCAGTGGAGTTAGCAACACACCAACATCCTTGCCATAAGCAACACTTGTACATGCATAACATGCATGCACTCCGAATTCCCGCGTTTCCGCACGGTACTGTGCGGAGCATGCGCATTACTCCAATTCGCCATGCTGTTGTTTCTTGCTCTTCGCTTTGCTGTGCTGACGGTCAAATTGTTTGACTATCGCGGCCAGTTTCTGATCACCACCACCCACCCCATTATCTCCCACTAGCATTCCATTCAAAACCATCCCGAAAGGGAGAACAGTAAAGATCGTGAGTCAGGCCGGCATTGAGCCAAGTGCGCCTATATTCGCTCGCAAGTGCATCATTTAAGCCATCCCGTAAGGGAGAACAGCAGGGATCGTGGGTCAGGCCGGCATTGAGCCAAGTGCGCCTACATTCGCCCACAAGTGCATCCCTACTGCATGCTCGTGTATTGACACATCTGAACTCAACAGTAGGGATCCTGGGTCTGGCCGGCATTGAGCCAAGTGCGCCTACGTTCGCCCACAAGTGCATCCCTACTGCATGCTCGTGTATTGACACATCTGAATTCAACAGTAGGGATCGTGGGTCAGGCCGGCATTGAGCCAAGTGCGCCTATATTCGCCCACAAGTGCATCCCTACTGCATGCTCGTGTATTGACACGTCTGAATTCTCACCGGGCAATTGTTGCCCCAGTTAGTGTCGGCATTGGCCATACTAACGCACAGCGGTGCTTGCAATACTAGCTCTGGCATTGGACCAGAATATTGCATTATTGTATGCGGCAATTGTTGCCTATCTCCTGGTAATACAACGCGTAATAGCTCCCAAACAGGTCGGCTTGTTGTGTGGTTGGTAATGGAGGGTATAACGTCCCAATCCTTCAAAAAATGCCAATAAACTGGCAACAATGTGTACACATGGTGCACTTGTGCATGCAGTGCAGATCATTTTTTGTAAGATACAGATAGCTCCCGGTTATAAGTCGAATCCCGGTTGTAAGTCGACCCCCACCCTTTCTCCGTCTATTTTAAGTCGTAAAAGGTCGACTTACAACCGGAAAAATACGGTATATAAAAGTAAGATCTCACGTCTGTGTGTGGGGTACAAGTTGGTCAGTTGATCTACTGCCCATGCGTGTTCTACGTCATAGTGAAAGACTGCTATTTGCAACAATCCATCCTACACTACTGAACATAGTGCACCAGGTGTAAGAATAAATGCGAAAAAAATATTCCGCCCGCGTACCTGACCAGCCACCCGCTGTTTTTGCATCAGGACGGAATTTTCCCGAAAATTACGGGCGACCCTAGCATAACTGGAAAATACTGCTCTTCAGTTTACTAACTGTTAGTATATGAATATCTCTCCAGTATAAGTTTATGACAGGATTTATGCCATTAGATACTGAACATAAATTCATAATTTAGTACAGTAAACAAAATAACATGCAAACTGGAACAGTAGCTCAGTCCCTGAAAGTACTGCTGGTGGAGCTGCCCTTGAAAAGAGTTGTTCATCAGGATCTTATAAAATACAGCAATACCAACTTGCATTGAGACAGGGGCAATGTGTTGTGTTCATTTTGTTTGCAGCGCTGGAACAGTGGGAAGACTTTCTACAAGCCTTAGCAAGTGGAAAAAGCTGACGGCCAGTTCCAGTCATTGTTAGCATTCCTGTAGTGTTACACCACGCATACACATGCATGCATATGTCAACACACCTATACACAATTATTATGCATGACTGTAAGAGGTAATAATCAGTACGCATTTCACACGATGTCACCTGATGCCTTGATTTCATTTCGTGTTGGTACTTCTCTGTACTTTGATGCTACTTGCATGAAGCTAATCTTGGCCTAAGGATATATTGGTAGGAAATATTGATAAGGAAACTTAGCATTGATTGAATTGAAGCATGCACGAGTCTGTTAATTAGTAATCGCCAATCTGTACTTTCGTTGATTAATGTCGCTGCACTCAGCTAGAACGCAGTTGGTTGTCCATTGATCGGAGAGAGCATTCTTACAGCACATAGTGCCTATCGTAGATGTAATTCCCCTGAAATCCGTGAAGAAGTATATGCTCTGTGCGCTGTTACATTTTGCCTCCGAGTACGTTAGTTTGTCATTAGGAGTCTTACTTTTGTTGATACAATAATATCGTTGCACTCAGCAAGAATAATTGATTTTCATCCATATTGGAGTGAGCATTCTTACAACACGTGGTGCCTATCGTAGATTCAATTCCACTGGTATCTGTGAATAAGTATAATTCTCAATGCACTATTACATTTCGCCTCCAAGTCTGTTGCTAGTAGTTTGCTATAAAAAAATCGGGTACTAGTACTTCGAGATTTATGTGAGCGGTTGTGTTGTGGTTTATAGGGAGTTTCCCTATCATTAGTTTTATTCCAAGCAACTCGTACATGGCTGGGGCAGCCAATAGGGAGGTTTCGCTCTACGTAATTACGTATGAAAATCCGTATGTCGTCCACGCCGGGGAGCGAGGGCCGCTTTCATAAGTAAAACTCTCTACGGATTTCCGTTGGAAAGCTGTTTCCTACGTTACGGCCTCCGTAGGACTTTTTGAAATATTTTTTGCATTTTCAGGACTTGTCCATGGCAAAGTTCAAGCCGCGCGAAACACAAGGTAGATCTACACACACCGTACATCACATGCAAAATACGATGGAAAACGCGGTTTCGGTTCGTGGTGCATGCGGTGGGCACATGCAGCCAACACGTCTCCAAAGCAACAAGGCATGTTTAGCAGTCGTGGAGAAATCACGTAGAGCGAAACCCAACAGCTCTGAATTTCACGTTTGAAAATTACGTGCAGTTTCTACGTTATTTTCTTACGTAATTCCGTGGAGCGAAACCTCCCTATTGATCACTTTGGAGTGGTGATTGCAGGGTTTTTATAACCAACCACGGCGTATAACCCTCATGGGGTATTCACACGACAGGCACTTGCACGTTTTACAGGGAGTGACATACGAGAAAAGTGACTCTGTGGGTTCACACAGCTGCAATCGACGACAGGCACGTTTGCATTTTTGAATGTTTCACCGTGGGTATTTCAAATTTTCAAAACACGCACATGATGATTACCATGCTCTAAAAGAGCTGCGTAAAAAATCAAGTCTTGTTTCGCGCTTTTTGGTGTAACTAGAGAGTGCACGTTTTTTGTCTTTTTTCACAACGTGGTGCAAATCTCACGTTGTGTGTAATTTTTAGAGGTTAAGTTACACGTGCGATGTGACGTGGAACTTTGCTTGGCAGGATTCGGGTTTAGTTCGCACACATATCAAATCTTCCAACAAATTTGATAAAACTACGGAAATAATCTACGTGGAGATAAAAGTTTAACTGGGGAGGTTCTGCTCTACGTTTTGCAAACGCGACGCAAAGAATCACGCGAACTTTCTTCGCGTTCCCGTAACGTAAAGAAATGCTGTTCTGCTCTACGCTTCACCTAGAGAAGTCACGTGGAATGTGTACTGGGAATTTCCCTTCCATATTTGGCAGTTTTCTGCATGCAGTTGTTCGATACCCAGTAAATCCGTAAGCATTTTCTCTGCGTGTGCCACAACGTAGAGAACCCCATCTCTGCGTAGAAATCTGGAGCCAAAACACGCGAAGCCGTAGACTCTAACCCAGACACCTGCTCTCTACGTGATTTCTCTACGTTTCACGTATAGCAGAACCTCCCTATTATCACTCCTCCCCCCCCCCCTCGTGACCGCGGACTCCTGCATATACACTAACACAATAACCACACAACTGTTTAGGGATAGCGCGCTTCTTGTATTATGCCAAACTTGACACGCTGAGTCCAGCTTGATGAGTTCCTAACTGCTATTTACTGCTCTAACATGAAGCCGTGCCTGGAGGAAGGGAAAGAGCGAAAACAAAAAAATCCTGGCCTTCTGCAAGCAATAGCAAGTAATGAGTGCCGGCTGTGTAAAGTCGCACAACCATGAAGTCGACCGGATGATGGTGGGTACCGCCGGGTGTCCGGCACACATCTTGCTCTGCTGCTCCACCTGCGCATACCTGATACGGTGGTGCGCTTACGGGCGGGCTGCCTGGGCCCCAGGTGCCTCCCTGATGCGCCACAGGGTGCAGTGGAAGCACCTGTATCACTTCGGTGATCCAAATGCGAATGCAGAGTTGCCGTACCCCGCCGGCCTGCCGCCTACGCGACCAGCCTGAGACTGGCCCTGCCGCATTTGGCGGTTCTAAACGCTGGGATCCGGTAGACAGCTCACTGGGCTGCCAAATACGTGACTGGCTTGAGGACAGTTCCATACTGCACGGCAGGGCGCCCAGCTCAGGTCGCACGCCGTAGCGTCGTGAGCTGGGTGCGGTGAGGGTTGGTGATAACTACAGTTTCCTCCTTCCTCCTCCGGAAACTTCCATTTATCACTCCCCCTCACATGACCGCGGACTCCTGCATAATTATACACTCACACAATAACCACACAACTACAAAAGAAAGAAGAAGAGAAAGGGTCCAGCTGGCAGCAAGCAGAACACTTGGCGTTTTTAAATCTTAGAAACACGCTCAGGACTTTTTTGTTTTTAAAGGGGAACTCCACGAAAAAATGAAAATTTGATAGCCTGTAGAGTTTCGGGCGCTGAGTCGAATGGTCTTGGTCCGAAGTCTCTACGAGAAAGCGTTCTTGAGATATTTCAATTTTAGCCACGCCCCATACCAATGTATGTGTGACGTCATTGTGGCATGGTGCGAAAATACCGTATATTCTCTATTATAAGCGCCGTGATTATATTTTTTGAACACCCCTCTACCCTGTGCTTATATTAGAGACCGCGCTTATATTGGAGACCGTGCTTATATTTTTTCAACCAATACATCCATACAGGGCAAGAAAAAATACGTGCTAGATATCATACATGCCGCATTGATTTCCACCAAGACCGTGCTAATACAGGCGAAGCGCAAGCACCGAAAAAGAGCCCTAAAAGTTGCACTTTTATTTTCCAAATCCGACCCCAGGCCCGGGAAATTTGAAACTCAGCTCAATATCGCCAAAAAGAGACTATTTTATCCCTTGCTCACAAGAGCTTCCCTGGTGGTATCGTCTTGTTCCGAGGCAATGTTTGGGAAGGTGCGGGCATTAGCTGCCCTCAGTTTCGCGGAAAGCTCCAAGCGACATCATTTTCCTCGCTTTCTCGCCAGAGTTTTCAAGACCGACGCAACTCGTCGTCAAAAAGTACTCAGCGTGGATTTCGTGCCGAATTCCGCCCCAAACAATTTAGGCTGACCTCTCGCCACCAATCGAACCTACTGATATGTATCTACCTATACACGAGCAATGGTTTGAGCCCAAAGAATGGCAACTTCACAACGAGCACACTTTCTGAGGGTAATATTTTCTATGTATATCAGTATTAGAACACCATCAAGACGACAATTTGACCAGCAGAAAGACATAAAGTTGCACTACAAATACAGCAGCTGTATAAACATAAATAATTGAACAGAAAACTATGTAACTGGATCCCACCAAAAACAGTAAAGCATCCCAAATAGTTTGCGCATACACATATACATGAAGGAAGGCTATGTTGCCACCATACACTGGCTTCGCACACGGACATAATTCTGGAGAGCTGAGCATCAGTGTGCGCACACCCCCACACACACATCTGCATGCACGCGCGCACACCCACACATGCGCATGCACACGCGCGCGCGCGCGTACACACACACCCACCCACATATACACATGCACGCGCGCACACACACCTGCCCTGTGCTGTCGAGCCACTGCCACAAGGGTTGCGTGGGCCTCGAAGGCACCGGAGAGAGAATAGGAGAACGCAGTCCCATAGATACACACACACGCGCACACAAAAACACACACACACACATGTACACAACACGTGCAAGTACACACGTGGCAGCTTACTACAAGAGAATTACACAAGTTCACATGTGGGCATGAACTGTATTCACAGTTGGTCATACTGTCTTGGGCATATGAGGGAGGAGCAGGAGAGTGAGTACGTGACTCAGACACAATGCGCTTCGACATGCTAGCACATGCACCGGTTTCGGACAGTGGCAGAACGTGACGGAGAGAGAGAGAGAGAGAGAGAGAGAGAGAGAGAGAGAGAGAGAGAGAGAGAGAGAGAGAGAGAGAGAGAGAGAGAGAGAGAGAGAGAGAGAGAGAGAGAGAGAGAGAATAGAGAGAGAGAGAGAGAGAGAGAGAGAGAGAGAGAGAGAGAGAGAGAGAGAGAAAGAGAGCACCAGCGTTCCAGCGTTCCAGCTCAAGCTCCAAATGTCTAGTTGCTTCTCCTGGTCACAGTAAACACAGAACAGGGCTCAGGCAGTGCCGAGGAAGTGCTTGTACTTGGTGCAGTGTCGTGAGCAGGATAAACTTCCAACATTTCTACACAGTGTAGCTCTTCAGGCGCACACGAAGACTCAGAAACCGGAATATACTTTACATGATGATTGAAAGTCCAGCAGCACCACAAAACTTCCAAGGACTGGTTTCGCACTAGCTTCCGTCTCATTGGCGTGTGCCCAGCCAGTTTTGGAAAGAAAGAGTAGACGTTCATTCCTCGTTCAAACCTGCAATGAACTGGAGACAACACAAACCAACAAGACGACAATGGTTGTCATCAGCTCATGTGTTCACCACCGCAGTGATACCATTCACTTTCCTGCTCCAAATGCACTACCAGGCTGCATGGTACTACTGTCGTGGACATGGAAATCAGGTCGCACGGATAGCGGCCCCAGGGCGCTGGCCATGCAATTATTCTGCTGCTATAGTTGAGTATGTCTCTTCCAGTTGTATTCAGTTCCAGTTATGTTATTTTCTGTGTACTTGATCAATATGTTCTGTAGGAAACATATTTCCCTGGCAGAGATAAATGATTAATGACTCCAACTGGAGGTAAGAAAACCCATAAGTTTATGACAGAGTACATGTGATCAGTTCATGCAGCATTTGTTTCCATGTACACTGTAATAACGTTGCAGACTGCTTTGTCAGAAGTAGTCGGGGCAGGGAATAATGCACCCCATTTAGCACTCTGAGTCGTATTTTTGTAATCGTATTATCCAGAGATAGTCGGCATGCTCAAATATGCCGGTAGACAAAGGAGAAAGAGACAGAGAGAGAGAGATACATACAGACAGAAATACAGATGAACAGATGGACGGACAGAGAGAGAAAGAGAAAAAGAAAAAGAAAAAGAAAGTGAGCGATAAAGAAAATGAAGCCAGAATTTACACTTGGGGTGCGGAATCAGCAAGGACATTCTTACCCAGCTCAAGTTTACACTACCACAAGAACGTATGGAGCGGTGGAGAATTGTGGCAAACCACACATGAAGGGAATGCAGTACCAGAACGAACACGTGAGAAAGTTATCAGTCCGCTTGCGACTTGAACAGCCACAGCACCTTGATATGCTTCTTTTGTCGACATAGCTCTGGCTTCAAACTGCGTATGTACAGCACTTCCAGAGAGGGCACGCACACACACACACACACACACACACACACACACACACACACACACACACACACACACACGAACACACACACACACACATACACACACAGTACAAAGAGAATTTACTGCTTCACAGATACCAGTGGAATTGCATCTACGATAGCCACTACGTGTTGTAAGAATGCTCACTCCAATATCAATTAGAAATCAACTGTTCTAGCTGCATGCAGTGACATTATTTTATCAACAAAAGTACAGATTCCTGATGACAAACTAGCATACTCGGAGGTAAGATGTAACAGCGCACAGAGGATATACTTCTTCACAGATTTCAATGGAAATACATCTATGATAGGCAAAATAACATACTTGGAGGCAAAAATAGGCACTACGTGTTGTAAGAATGCTCACTCCAATAACAATTAGAAATCAACTGTTCTAGCTGAATGCAGCGACATTATTTTATCAACAAAAGTACAGATTCCTGATGACAAACTAGCATACTCGGGGGCAAAATGTAACAGCGCACAGAGGATATACTTCTTCACAGATTTCAGTGGAAATACATCTACGATAGGCACTATGTGCTGTAAGAATGCTCTCTCCGATCAATGGACAACCAACTGCGTTCAAGCTGAGTGCAGCGACATTAATCAACGAAAGTACAGATTTGTGACTACAAATTAATTGGAGGTAAAATGCAATAATGCATGGCGAAAATACTCCTTCACAGATATCAGTGGAAATGCATCTACTATAGGCACTACTTAGTATGTGTTGTAAGAATGCTCACTCCAATATCAATTATTAGAAATCAACTGTTCTAGCTGAGTGCAGCGACATTATTTTATCAACAAAAGTACAGATTCCTCTCATGACAAACTAACGTACTTGGAGGCAAAATGTAACAGTGCACAGAGGATATACTTCTTCACAGATTTCAGTGGAAATACATCTACGATAGGCACTATGTGTTGTAAGAATGCTCTCTTCGGCCAATGGAAAACCAACTGGTCTAGCTGAGTGCAGCAACCTTTATCAACGACAGTATAGATTTGTGATAACAAATAAACTTGGAGGCAAAATGTAACAGTGCACAGCGAAAAAACTCCTTCACAGATATTAGTGGAAATGCATTTACGATAGGCACTATGTGTTGTCAGAATGCTCACTCCAATAGCAATGAAAAATCAAAAAAACATCGTGTGAAATGCATACTGATTATTACCTCTTACAGTCATGCATAATAATTATTGTATATAGGTGTGTTGACATGTGCATGCATGTGTATGCGTGGTGTAACACTACAGGAATGCTAACAATGACTGGAACTGGCCGTCAGCTTTTTCCACTTGCCAAGGCTTGTAGAAAGTCTTCCCACTGTTCCGGCACTGCAAACAAAATGAACACAACACATTGCCCTTGTCTCAATGCAAGTTGGTATTGCTGTATTTTATAAGATCCTGATGAACAACTCTTTTCAAGGGCAGCTCCACCAGCAGTACTTTAAGGAACTCTGCTACTGTTCCAGTTTGCATGTTATTTTGTTTACTGTACTCCATTATGAATTTATGTTCAGTATCTAATGGCATAAATCCTGTCATAAACTTAAACTTTAGAGATATTCATATACTAGTAAACTGAAGAGCAGTATTTTTCAGTTATGCCAGGGTCATCTGTAATTTTCGGGAAAATTCCATCCTGATGCAAAAACAGTGGGTGGCTGGTCAGGAACGCGGGCGGAATTTTATTTATTTTTGCATTTATTCTTACACCTGGTGCACTATGTCGAGTAGTGTAGGATGAATTGTTGGGAATAGAAGTCATTCACTATGACGTAGAACACGCATGGACAGTAGACCAATTGACCAACTTGTACCCTTCACACAGACGTGAGGTCTTATTTTTATATACTTAAATAGACGCAGTTCTTCAGAATTTTTTTAAATTTTCTAATTTGTACAAGTACGGGGGAAATAGAAACAAGTAATGAGGTAGAAGGGCGGGGGTGGGGGGGGGGGGGCAGTGGGTCATACACAACTTTGCATAAGGAAGGATTTTTAAGGTAGCTCGATTGGGTGTCACAAACTGGTCTTCTCAGCATCCTTCTGTGCAGATCATGAGTGGAGACATTATTTTCTGCGGTTCATGGGTTCGAGCCCCTCATGAGCGACTTTTTCTTCTTCTTTTTTCATGTTGTTTTGGAATGACATACCACATTTCCGAATTGAAAGTTTCTACAGCAGGAATTTGCCTAAATACCCCCTATAACCTTTTCTCTTTCCTCCGGAGCAAGGGTGTGACTTGACACGCAAGAAGCTGCAAAACAGCGACATTATTGTTATTTCACCGTGCTCACGATGACTTTTATGCGAACACAAATTGGGGATGCTATGAAAGATTGCAGCAGGTGATAGTTCTGAAATTTGTTGTGTAGAGATGTTGATCTATACTGAAAGCCTATCTGCATGAACTAGAGCATGATATTGGACTATGCAAACCTATCTAACAAAGTAGGCCCTATGGACAAAATCACACATGTCCTTAAAATCTCATAATCTGATATTTTGCATACCGGCAAACGGTAAAAAAAATTTGCGGTTGGCGTGAGACTTGGCTGGAGGCCAAGTTGCCCGCATCCGCAGG